ATGCAGTTTTACCATACTCATGATGGTGATGATGATTATAATTGCATTATTTATTTTTATTATCATTTTATTATCATTAAATCTGACATTAAAAATGTAATTAAATTACTATCACAAGTAACAGTCAAAAGTAGCCTACAATAAAATGAATCAAACAAATGTTTGTGTTTTGAACCGTTCAGTTGGTATCCTCTGGGTGACAGTGAGTAATGTAGTCAGGCTAGTTTCTCAGTTCAACATTCCTCTAGAGTCACAGAAAAATATCGCTCATCTGACAGGAATGACTGTAGATATAATAGATATTGATATAAATATAGATATAAAATATAGATGGTTGTTTAAAATAGATATAATATCATTATATCTATATATCGATCGATATACTCCTGTATCGAATTGAATCGTAATCGTATCGTAGATTTTTTTGAGGTATCGGCAAATATCGTATCGCTGGGTATGAGAATCAATATCGTATCGTGATGAACCATCCGATTTACACCCCTTATATATATATATATAGTTCATAGAGTGACCATCTATCTATCTACATCAACATCTAGGCCTCCATAATTCTCAAAAAGAGCTTCTGTAGACGTCTGACAGGAATCAAGTAAATCTGGTTAGTAATTATTAATCTGTAGACCTCTGACAGGAATGACTGTAACAAAGGGTACGTTCAAATGACAGCGGCGTACTGAAAACTATTCTTGAATAGTTTCACACAGCCTACAGTTGTCAGCGTTGTCAAAACAATCCCTGTTTACATGGTTACACGGGCAATGACAATGACTGTTGCTGTCAGATTATCGTATCGTATCGTGACGAACCATTCGATTTACACCCCTTATATATATATATATAGTTCATAGAGTGACCATCTATCTATCTACATCAACATCTAGGCCTCCATAATTCTCAAAAAGAGCTTCTGTAGACGTCTGACAGGAATCAAGTAAATCTGGTTAGTAATTATTAATCTGTAGACCTCTGACAGGAATGACTGTAACAAAGGGTACGTTCAAATGACAGCGGCGTACTGAAAACTATTCTTGAATAGTTTCACACAGCCTACAGTTGTCAGCGTTGTCAAAACAATCCCTGTTTACATGGTTACACGGGCAATGACAATGACTGTTGCTGTCAGATCTCGATTGCCGAAAATCACATTGTGTTTGATGCAAAACCAACTCGACTAAATCAAAAGAAAAGATACGTATAAAACACAATGCTTTGTTGTTTAAAGAAAGGTGAAACTGTGATAAGGCTGAATATAAAGAGCTACACTGATAAATTAAGGTGCTTTTTTTATTAACTTTTCTTTTCCTCACTCTCTGATTAAATCGTATTATCAACATACTAACACTAGTTTTTTGTTCAGGTTCAGGTGAACTGTCAACATTTTTCAACTAAATGAGTAAGTATGGAATTCCTGGTCAGCATAAAGAGCTACACTGATAAATTAAGGTGCTTTTTTTATTAACTTTTCTTTTCCTCACTCTCTGATTAAATCGTATTATCAACATACTAACACTAGTTTTTTGTTCAGGTTCAGGTGAACTGTCAACATTTTTCAACTAAATGAGTAAGTATGGAATTCCTGGTCAGAGATCAGATATAGTCCTTGATGTCAGGGAAACGTTTTTAGGAAGGAATGGCAGTAATAATTTACTCTTAATTAGCCATATAGTGTTGACAATAGTTTTCAAATGCTGTTTTATTACATAATTTATTTCATTGCCATGTGTGAATTCAGTTGTCATTGAGCTCACACAGGTGTCTATCAATACCGCAGATGTAGTTTGTCTTTGATTAGACAGTCAGAATGTTAGAGGCATCTCATGCCTGTCAGTTTGTTGAGAGAATGTTGCTTTGCTAGTGTGACCCGTTTGAAAAGGCCAGCCAACGTATCCATTTGGCCTTTTTGAATGTATTTTCAGCCCATGCACTTATATGAACTGTTCATGTGTACTTAACCACATTTATGGACCCATTTATTTTGATGTGAGTTAATTAGAAGATCTTTCTCTGTACTTTTGAAAACAAATCTTTTTCATTGAAACCACTGGCAAGATGCAGAGCAGCAGTGTGGAGCAACCTCAACGTAAGTACTGAATATTTCATGCTGTCATCCACCCATCCATCCATCTGTCTTATTTACCCCATCAGAAGTTAATATGATACCGCTGGGCAGTACTGGAGCAAAAACATTTCAAATGAGCACATTTATTGTCGCAATGGATCATTACAACCAATGCTTCACAATCAATGCGGGTTTGCAAGGAGATTCTGTATGGAAATGGCAAAAGACTGGAGTGAAGGTCTGTCGATGTTGATGTTTACTGTTTGAAACATTCTTACATGAAAGTATCTGCAACATAATAGACATAGCATTCACTGTATGTAAAAATAACGTAACAATATACAGTGGGTACGGAAAG